TTGGATGAGTTGAAGCGGAGGATCAAACAGCGGCTGTAGCTTTGGATGTTGATGGATAAATCTGGATGTGCTGCCCATATCATGACACAATGTAATGCTGTGGGTCAAATTTCTCAGGATTTGGTCCATCAATGTCCACGGAGATGCAAACCAACACAGCCTCCAACTTCCTTTTTTCACCAGGGCTCGCTCGAGCCGCCCTGAAATCCAAAAGAACCACACGTTCTCCACCGCTCGCTCGAAAAAGAGCCACCCTTCAACAAGGCCTCAGGTCTTGGACCTGCGACCGCTGTCACCGCCGACCGCGGAGCACCGCTGCACCTCCCGAAGCTTCTCATTCAGTGCGGCCATCGCCTGCTGCACCTGCAGTGTAGGTGTGGATTCAAGGAACGCACCAGAAAGACATGGGCGATTGTGGCATTTGTGTGGGCCAAAAATGGACTCAGGACTCAGGAGTGGATGATTGATGTTGGATGATGTTTGTATGCTGTATACTACTCTTTTGATTGATATCCCCGTCGTCATCTGTCATAGTCATCTCTTGACTCTCTCTTTCTATCTCTCTCTCTCTCTCTCTCTCTTTCTCTTTTTCCTCTGACTGAATTTCTTGGAGGGAATTGAGAGTGCCGGTCAACGGGGTTTTGAGGTCCTCTCTGAAGACTCCAATAAATCTGGCTAAAACAGCTCACACAGCTCAGACCTTTGTTCTCTGCCAGCTCGAACAAGACTATGTCGGACTATGTCTCTATCCAATCAGAAAGACACGCTTGGCCTGGATCAGAAACTCTCTTCGCAAAACAGTATGAATCAGTGATTGGAACAACAACAACAACAACAGCAGGAACAGGAACAGGAACAGGAACAGGAACAACTACAGGTCCACAGGAGTGTTTCGGCCATGGTGCAAACAAACTTATTGTTGTGTGGTCAAGATTTGTTTGATACCTCAACATGGTCACTATAATGTTTAGCCTGGTTTAGCCTTATAGTCAATAGTATATGCTAGAAGGCCATCTCAACAGAAGATTGGACCCGGGCATGCCGGGCACATGTAAAATCGATATTTCCACCTGCTCTTCCCGCCTTCTCTTTTGCTTCGTTGGTCTCTTCAATTTCTTCACCCAAAGCCTCATGGATTGTTTTGGTGCTGGCCATGCTCACTGGAGAACATCTTCCTTTCAAAATCTTTCAACGCCAACGCACTCTCGACATGTCTTGGTTGTTCAGCATCGTTAAACCACTCAGCCACCACATTCTATGATGATCCCTATACAGAATCTCAAAGGCATCTGTTAAATCATGTTCTTCATCCTTCTTCCAAGGTGTTCAAGTCTGCCTAAATTTGCCTGACTGTTCGAAACACCAAAACTGACCAAAACCATGGGGCAATGGATGCATTTTGGCAGGGCTGGACAAGAGGTGCCCCCCGCCCAAAAAGAATCTACAACATATCGGTGGACAAGCTCTATATGCTGAAACCGTTGTCCCAAGCTTCTTGACTTCATAGGTGTTCATCTGGCAAGAGTCTTGACCAACGGTTTCTTATTCTGGCCCCTGAAGTGTTTGTCCAAGGCACTTTTGCTTCCTCCATGCGCTGCCTCCGGTCCTGACACTTGACACCATCCAGGCATGAGGGGCCCTGGGTTTTGGACACACTTCACTGGCTACTGATTGTTTTGCTCCTGGGTTGTTCATCTGTTGTGATCTCTCAAATGTTTCTTGGTTTAATACAGGGTGTACATCTATGGGAAAAGTCCCACCTCCCCGTGAAGGAGGTTCCAAAGCAAATCAAACCAACTCATGAATGAACTAAACCCAATTGGATCTAATTATTGGTCTTCATCGACGTTCCTTTAGTATGTTGTTGCTGTACTCACATTGATGAATTTGGCAACTTTTGAATTCTCTGAAGTCCCCTCACTATATAAGCACGGCAAGCTGGAATTGTTGGTAGTTTGTTGCTCCTTTGACAGTAGACAAACAGTCAGTCTCTTGCACTCACTAGCAATCTCCTTGGGACACGCAGACGGAACAATGACAGTATGAATCATGACATTTTGTTCACTGGAAGGGCAACCCTATGAAGGCAGTCCCGCCAGAGCTGTCCCCAGTTCTGCAATCTCTGGTGGGTTCCGGTGACCCTCCCAGCACCTGGAAGGACATTCTGCCTGAAGTCCACAAGTACAAACCCCTCAAAATGAGTCCACTGATCCACCATCCTGTACCTTCGACGACTAGGGTGTCTTTTTGTTTGATTGGAGGTTGTGGCCCTCTTGGAATCCTCTTCGAGGTTCTTTGAGGATGTTCTCCGGAGGGGATTAAGTATCAGTCGTCTAATGTAGGTAGCTTGAAGTATAGTAAAGTGCTCACTTTATACTCTACATATCTACAGTATATTCATAATTAATCATACAGAGACTTTCAACTTTTGTATGTGATGCACTTGGCTGTCTCTTCACTGACCACAGTTGTGATTGTGCGAGAACAGCTGTACACCCCAACCCACCACAAGCATCCTGGAACGCTCTACTTTTCGCCCCAAGCCAAACAAGCCTGCGAAAGCTACGCCAATTTCCAAGGACGCCATCGGGCGGCCATTCTCTGGCGCAAATGAAATCGCACAATCCGAGCGAGCTCATCCCAAATTCCACTAGTAACGAAGGGCATCGCTACGTTTGGAGCAAGGACGCCACTAGAGGCGCTCCTGGCATCGCTACTAGGAGCAAGAAGCTACCAGTCACCAAAGCATCGAAAAGAATGAACCCGCGCATGTTTCTATAGGCACTGTCATGGACTCATCTTTGAAGGGGCAAAGGGTCCCAGGTGCGAGGTCATTGAAGCAAAATGGAAGGACATGGGGATCACCTAGCACCAAACAATATGACTTTCTCATAAGGTCTTGCCATGTATTGCTTCAAAAAGCTTGATGTGTATTTCCTCATCTTTCGAAGCGAAGGACATAATTATTATCCATCATTCAGAACCTTGCCACATTGACCCACTCCTTCTACCAGTCTAGACTCTACAGTCTACACATTGGCATGAGAATTCACCCACCTGAGATCTGTTGAGGCGTGGCCCCCAACGAACAAGCTCATCTCCACTGACCACTCGGAGGGGCTGCCAACCCTGTGCGCCTTCCTTCGCCCTCACTCGGGAGGGCAAAATGGGGGGAGACGGTTTCGGAGGTTTCCGGTTCCGACGTGACTTTTCACGCCCAGTTTTAAAAGTTCCATTCACATCCTCTGCCATGATGCTTTTTTGCACCAGCGCAAAGCACCTTTCTGCCGAGGTGAAGGGGATAAGAGCGTGTGAATCTTTGAAGCTTTGATGAGGAACGTTATTCACGCAAAAGACCAGGCTTGGGCGAGAGTGATGTGTCCAGCCTCTGGGCAAGTGAGACATGCGCAGCCGTTTTGGCTGCACAACAGAATGGCCCTTTGACGCAATTTTCGGACGCTTTGGGCAAGGGCAAAGGCCCGTGTACTCACTGATTTCATCGCCAAATGCTAATGAACCTCTGCACCCCTGAGGACTCCCAAACCCTCAACCTCAATGGAAAAATGGCTCTTGACATGTTCTGGCTTTAGCTTTTCTATCAGTCGTTCCCAGTGTCTTGTCTGCCGGAATAAGTTCATGGTAACTGCTGGTCTTTTCCTCCAAACCACAGGACCCACCCCGGTCAAATAGTCCTACCGACAAACAGTTTGGGCAACGACCAAGTGTACACTCCAAAATCAATAAGCTAAGAACATCCACCCATGTGAAGCATGTGAGTTCCAACATCCCAAGCAGCGCTGTGCATCCAACGGCCATTGGTCAGCATAAACCAACAAACGTGAGCCAACGTTCCCTACTCAGCTGCGCGGCTGCCACTTCCTTGTGTTCAGTTCGAGTTGCCTAGCGGGACCTAGCTATCCCGGTCGAATGGCATTGTTCCAAGTCCATCCAGATCCACTGATCCCACTTACTTGCCTTCTTGAAAAGAGTGTCCATGGCAAGTCTCCCACGTCTTCCAAGATTTGCCGACAAGTGCGTGCTCATGTTTCTTCATGCATGCTGCAGCTTGGCAAGACCAGAAATACTAGGTCCACTGTCACCTTTAAATCATGAAACCATGATTATAGTAGGTATCTGTAAGGCCAATGGATCGATGGCTACGTTCTTTAAGCTTCAGATTTCCAAGTCGTCGAAGTGGTGACTTCCACGTGGATCCCATCCCACGCAAGAAGAAGTGGCGCGCGGAGGCTGCACGGTCCGCGGCACGACGGTTTGGAGGACCCGGGACCAGCACAACCAGGTCAATTCCTCTGGCATTTGGCGGACAGAAACTCGGGAGTTCTTGGGATCTTGGTGAGATCGCATCCGAGAGTAAGAGGTGCTGCGGTTTTCAGAATGTGTGAAGGGTTTCAAATGTTGGAGGTGCTGAGACCTTTCCCGAAAGTGCAAGTGTATGCAAGTGTCATGAACATTCTATCAAGATCTACCGCGCGTGTGCAACTGAGGGATTTCGCAACTTTATCTGCACAAGTCCCTTGTTAATTCCAAACATGAAGATTGGGTTCAGGTGTCATGTGGGGTGCTTATAAAAGTGGTGGTTGACCGTTGACCACAAAGACCGAATGACAACCATATCTTCCAATAGGCGCACAATCTCCACAGAACACAGTGACGTACAATTCTGTTCCTGGACAAATTCCTACCCTAATTGGCCAGCATCTGGGGTGCACAATCTCTATGGGCAGCTCAGATGCTATCAGGAGATGAAGGAGAATTGCCCATCACTTGCAGAAGCCTGTGGTTCTTTACCAGCAAAAAGAATGATGAGGTCGAGGGAATATGAAGTCTAACGTAGTTCGTGAACGAACCATAACGCATAAATACGCATAGTGGATCATGGTGCATACACTTTGACATACTTTAGCATGTGTGCGGACATTTCGTCTTGATTGCCCCATTTCCCCGATCGCAAGCCGCCGCCAGCAAAGGCGTTGTGACGCTCATTTGCCCATCCTGCCCAAATAGCTTCGTGTTGGCAAATCCTCACTGATGATGGAGAGCCTGAGGCATCTGCCAGGCCCCGCTTTTTGAAACCGATGTTCCACAGATCCAATTGGATGATTGAGCCTTACATGCCCATTCTAAGAGCAACTGTTTTGTGTAAAACTGTCCACTTCGGAAGGCTCTCGCCCTCGCAGCTGGCACCCAAACTTTCGGTGCTGGCCCTTCTGGTCAAGTCCAGGTGCCAATTCAGGTTTGTGCAACGTGTCAGAACATTAGGGTGTGTGTCTGGTGTGTCTGGGCAGTGAAGCCAATACTACAACTGCTCAGGCCAAGCGTTCGGAAGGCCATGTTGCGAAATCAGTGTACGCTCAAATGTTGAAAGGATGGTTGGAGCCCGATTTAATCGCTAAAATGGGCCATTGGTGATTCCTGATGATCTTCAGTTCACATGACAATGAACAGGTTTGTACAAACAGTAGAAGGGACATCCCACGACCACGAGTTCTCCAAACTAAACATGTTATAGACTAACTTATTGGTAGTCTGATAGTATGATACCACAATACTACAATCATTATCAATCATTGTCATGTACTATACATTACTACAAGATACGTTACATTATATATAGACTATATTACACTACATTGCATCATATCATACTATTGTTATGTTGGGCAGAATTTATACATTAATGCTTATACAACAATACATGAATATTCAACAAATCCCGCACAGGAGAAGTCTCCCAGATCGACTTCCGCCCTTGCCTGAGCTTGTGCCCTGCAGTCCAAGCCATCAGGTAGTGCTGACCAAAGGCCTCATGCTTCCAGAGCCTCGCTGTCTTGGCCTCGTCGCCACAAACAGACAGGTCGGTGGCCATGACGGGTGTTAAGAGTGCCAACGGTGTGGCAAGTCACCCAAGGAAGGCTGAACCAACATCAAAGACGGGGTTGTCCAACAAAGAATGGAATCTTATGAATTGTTGAGGATTTCGCCGCACAGACTTGCTGAAGTCTCAAGCTGGGACCTTTTGAGCTTGCTCGACATTTGTTCGAAAAATCTGTCGTGAGTCGTTGGTTCAGAAACATTTGGATCCCCCTCCTTCCCTTCAGAACTCATTTAGGCCTTCTGCAGAAAGATCTGGAGCTGAGAGAATTGTTCCGCCGAGAGGCCTCGGTTGGCCGGGAGGCCTTAACTCTGTCCGCAACTCAACATGTTCCATATCTTTCAAGATGTTGCATCACTTTTTGGAAGCAAGAACTGTTGTCCTTGCAGATGGTTGCGCTTCTTTGCCAGAGCGTGACTCAGTGTGACAATGGAGATTTAAACTATAAAGAAAAAGTATGAAAAAAGTCCAAAATGACAGATTCCACCTTCCTTACTGCATGGCATATGGGAATGTTCCGACATGCTCAAGATACACCATGGTGCCCCTGAGGCGAAATTGACGACTGTGTCCGTGAGTGTTCCGGGTTCGAGGGTCCTCATACGTTGGCGCAAAGTTCAACACTGAAAAAGGTCAGTTGGACGGCTGGTCTGGCACAAACAGGGCCACGAGCAACCTCGCCGAGCTGGCGCCAGCCACCCCACTTTGCTGGCACCCAGCTTAGTGTGGCAGGAATGTTTGTTTCGTGGGGCACACCTGTCGCTATTAGGTTGGAGGCCATCGCTTGTAGGTTGGAGGCCATCGCTAGTAGGGTGGAGGCCATTACTGTTGCCTGGGGGGCACCCGTTGTGTTGCGCTGTCCCTGGTACAGGACATCACCACATTCTTGTCCATGAGTCTGTGAGTGAGTTGAGCAGCTCACCAAAACAAACTTTTAGAGACGAACCGCATCTTTCTTTCGCGGGTGCTTCTCAGGTGAACTTGTGGTCAAATCAAGAGATTCCACTGATTCCACCATCCAAAAGTACGTATATAGGGGTTGGTCTATCTAGTACCGTTATATTCTGTGTGTTGAAAAGATGTAGCCCGTAGCAGGGGTCTGCCTATTCTGATACGCACTCATGGGCCCATGAAAGGCCCATGGGTATTCCAAGTCGCAATTTTCCTTGCAAGCCTTCTTGTCTTCTTTTCGCCCACCGGTGCCCACCCAGCACTCCACCTAACCGGGCGCCAAGCTGCAGCTGCTGAACGGCACACAGCTCAAGTTCCGAGGCCTCTCCTCGATGGTCGCCATCAAGGCAGCTCCGTCCTCGTCCGGGCTCTGAGATGTTCCACAAAGAAACAATCAATTGAAGAATCGTAAGTAATTGCACAGGAATGGCACTATGAATTTTATATCTATATATTTCATCAACATCGTCGGTCGATGTGTCTGAAAGAATTGCTAGTATAGAAGTGCAATTGATGATAATTGACGGTTTTATGCGGCTTTCGTCCCGCTCAGCTCGCTTCTTGGGAATGTTCACAAGCTTCGAATTCGGGCAATTGAAGAGCCACTCCCCAAGTGTCCCGCCATCTACTTGAAAACCACAAATAGCAAGGCCAATCCTAGTTCCTGTGCAAGCAGGGGCCACCAGTGTGACTGTCGAAGAGAACGTTTTGAATGTAAGGATCATTGCAATTGTATATACTCCCCTCGTCTGTGATGTCTGGGGTGGAACCTGGAAGTACAGGTCTTTACAGGGGCACATGGAAAGTCTGTGGAATGTTACCTGAATCTCTTTGATGTGTTTGCTGCCCATTGTCTAGCCTTTGGTTTGGCTCATGAACAATGCATTTCTCCAAGATTCCCGACTGGACCCAAATGTTGCTCAACCCAGCAACGGGCAAGTAGGTCAAGTTTCAAAATGCTTCAAGGGACCGGGGACAAAAGCATCTGTTCGGACAGGTGCACCCGAAACTTGCACCCGACCGAAGCTCGGAAACGCTAGACCTCCTGAGGACCCAATTGCACCCATCGCATGAAGGATGAGCCAGGCGGCGATCGAGTTGATCTCTTCTGAAAGTGTGCGGTAGCGCCCCAGGAGAGTTTCTCAGCACGCGGAAGGAATGCAAAAAAGACGGCCACAGAATGCTCGGAACGCTCGGAAGGGATTTTTCTAATGAGGCAATTTCATCAGGAACTGGCATACAATGCATACATCATACAACACAGAATCACAAACTGCAAAAGGGAGTTTCTGTAAGCCTAGCATAGTAACTTCCTCCAATCAAACATCCATTGTCACTAATAGCTTGCGTTGCGGATCACTTCGGCACTTGCTGGTAACGCACAAGATCATGCGCCAAGCAGCTCAGGTTCTCCCGCACCTGCCGTACATCCGCCTGCCAGGTTAGTTATGGTCGTCCAAACTGGCCACAAAACACGTCAGCAATTAGACACGTCAATCGCTACAAACAACTCCAGCTGTTCTTTTGCATCGAGTTCGCTGCCAATTGTATAATGAACTCCAAGCAGGCTTGAGCGTCTCAACCTCCCTGCGCCTCGTACTCCTCTTCGCTTTGTGGCGCAATCTGAACCTCCGTCACTACGTCCTGGCCACTGGTGGGGCAGTGGTGGACGCAGTACAAACCACCAACATGCAAGGAAACACCAACAATGTTTCGCAACAAACGAGATAAAACAAAATATTGTTCTATAGTTCTATGTATATAGCTTGCAAAACCGCGGTCCAGAACCCCTTCAGGCCATTCCCAAACATGTGTCTGACTCAGCCGTTTCACACCACAAGTCTGCGGGATGGTTCTGGCATATCCGGGTCTCACTTCAAGAGAATCTCTTCCAGAATCCTTGGCATACTAGTAGCTACAAGCTACTAGGTGGAGGCCATCGTTATTAGGTTGGAGGCCATCGCTACTAGGAACAAGAAGCTACTAGTAGCTAGAAGCTACTAGGTCCCATTTGGACGAGTGCTGGAAGTGGTCCCGTTTACGTGACACATTCGGTTTGACTCCTCTGCCGGCAGTAGGTGAGGTGGAATGCAGCATGTTTGGGGATCAACCATTTGTTGTTACCCCACAATCAACAAGCATGATAAAGTTCATGCGACCAGTTTTACGCAGAAGTAAAGCTATATTGGCAATAATTAGGTTAGGGCGAAGCTACAAACGATTGCCACGAAACCGTGCTGTGCGGCTATTTCTGGCATCCAAAAGGACCCTCTCTCTTCATCGGTTTTCCCTGTTTGGATGTCTTGTGTGGAGAAATGGCCAGCCAATACCATCTCCGTCCATCTCCGTTAAACCCAGAAACAAGTTTGCCCCCCACAGTCTCCAAGCCAAAGAGTGTCCCACTGTTTCCGGCCATTGCTTCGGCCGAACTGGATTCCAGCCGCAACTGAGTAACTGGGTTGCCCGAAGAACGCCATCCGCCCAGCCCAGCCGTGATCCATCCCAGCCCATGAGCTCCGGAAACTTGTTGAAGTAGTTCTTCTTCACCTTTAGGGTTTAGGGTGGGGGACTTCCCGAAGAACACGCCCACGCCAAGATGACAGGACGATCCTCTGACCGGAGATCTGGATCGCAGATCTGACACCCTGTTTGCATCTCTGGGAGGTGGTTTTGAGTTCCCTCAGGTTGGAAAGCATTCCGATCGTGGGAATCTCCAAGCGGCTTGCAAGAACCCGGATGCGAACCTAGAAACCAGTAAGAGGAATGATATGACCTGCAATGATACTGTGACAGATGGGTTTCTCATATCTGCTAATTGCTGCTGTTGAGTTCATGGCCATCGCTCTTAGTCGATCCAAACTGGTGGAACTTTATCTGAAGACGTTCAAGCACGTTCAACAAACCGGGTCTTCCAGTCATTGTTCTTTTGCAGAAACTGTTCGTCAAACATGCGGATCCAAGACAGAATAGAATCTCCTGATGTTCTCAACCACCCCTCGACGTGTAATTTCCAGATGTGTTTGGAGGCTTTACAGGAAATGTATGGAAGTGTATGGTGCTGGTACGAAGCGTGGTAGGAAGTGTGCAAGTCCACAAAGCCCAGTACGTGACACAAAGGAGTCTCCAAAGTATAAACATAAACCCAGGATGCTGTTCCCATGTTGAATGCAGAGCAATGACAAATGCTCGCCCACTCTTCTTTCATAAACTTCCTAATCAGTGCTTCTTCTTGGAAAGGCTGAGCTCCATTGTGAAAAAAGAGGTCTTGGCCTTTCCGCGTTCAGCGTTTCTCTCGCCTGGATATCCAGCGTCGCACTGTTGATGTCGGCCTCAGGGCGGAGGACACACACACACACCAAACGGACCTCGACCAGTGGAGTCGACCATGGACCTAGTAGCGTCCTTGCTCCTAGTAGTAAGGCCAGGAGCCCCTAGTAGCATCCTTGCTCCTAGTAGCGATGCGACTGGTCCATGTCCAAACCTGTTCAGATTGAAACGTGACGCCGGGCCATGCCAGCGATGCGGAGCCTTGAAAGCTTGTGGCTACCCCTCTGTAGCTGTCGAACTCTTCACCAACTCCCTTCAAAGCAACGTCAACCATTGTGTCCTTTTGGATCTGGCTGTTGGGAGCCTTCACAAGGTCCATCGCCCAAAACAAAGCTGCACCAGTCCACAGCTCATGCATCTTACATTCCCACTGGTTGGTTGTGTTCCGACTATTCGTAAAAAACGAATCACCACGGACCAGGACTCCTTCATTGGGAAGCTTTGCCCGCTTTGTACGTTTGGGGTGCCACGCAACTATAGTCGAGTCATGTCGAGTCTATAGTGATAGATGAATCTCACTGAGCCAAACCACCTCATTCATTCAAGTTATCACCTTGGTCGGAAGTCAGAAGGAGTACAAGCAGGAGTGTAACACTAGCGGCACAACATGGACTCCTTTTCCCTACCGGGTCCGAAAGTAGGAGCCTGCAGCTTTGCGCCAGGCTTCCAAGCCAAGAATGCGGAGAAGATTGCAGGATTCTCCACTTCTGTTGCATCGTGTCCACTTGCCATCTGCGTGCACTGAACCACCCTTCTTCGCCCGACAAAATTGCTACCACGTGGCCAGTAGAAGCAAGGACTGTTCTGGGATGTGGTGCAAAAACAGCTCAGCCGCGAGCTCTGACTCCTGCGAAAACCGGTTTTTCACTTCAGTTCAGCATTGTATTCGGAAATCGCAACAGTGGCTTACAAGTAGTATTCGTAGACTTCGTATATATGGACATGGCAAAATCGTATTCGAGCACAGTGCTGTCAGGGGGCATAATATGGCATAATGCTGCCATTGCCACTAATTCTTTGATTTGGAGGGCCAGGGCTTGTTCAACACGACCATGTTCGTGTTCCCTTCCCAGGTCTTGAACCTACTGTGATCACGAGTGAGAAGAATCCTGGTCACAAAAATAATGCAATCGATTAGAAAGGTCACCTGGTGGAATTCCAAGCCTTGATTGAGTCGCCGAGCCTTGATTCAGACTCACTCCTCTAGAGAACATACTGACACCTAGTGAGGTACTAGGTCTCAGATGTCTCAGGTAGGTCTGTGGTTCCAAAATGGCGTGGTGCGATTGGGAGAACGAGACTTGGACTCTCGTGTGCCATGGTGACAAACGAGTGGTGGACCATGATATATAGTTATACATATTACGCTGCTTGGCTTGTTACCAAAATTATGTAGGGTTGGCTGCAATTGGTTTTTCCATGTTTTGGATGTTTGTCTCTCACTCATGCTTTCCATAGAAAGGAGCAGCATCAGCGGTAGGGTTGGCCCGTATCAGTGGTGCAGAAGTCTAAGGCAACACCAATTCTTCTGCAGTCTCTCAATAGCCTTGTCAAGTGCTCATATGGGCATCTCAAAAATCAGGCAAATGTATGTTAAACTTGACAAAAAAAGGACGCTTGACGGTTCGATATCAATAAGATTATCAAGAATCAAGACTGGAAACTCTATGGAAGGTGCGAGGTGCATCCACTGGAAACTCTATGGAAGGTGCGAGGTGCATCCACTGGAAACTCTATGGAAGGTGCGAGGTGAATCCTCAAGCAAACCCTGGCTGGTCTTCTCAAAACCAGCAAGCCGAACATGTCCGCCCGGCTCGGCAAATGTGTGAACCTCGTGTTCTTTCTATCATGCGAATGAGTCTGCATTGTAACTGCTTGGAACCTTGTGGTAGAACTTCATGCTTGCCCACGGCTGCTTTCTCACCTGACAGCAGGATGATGGTCTTGGTGTGGATGGAAGGAATCTTTCACCATGTGGCTACAACTTGTTAGCCTCCATTATGGTGTATACGTATATAGTCCTATCTCCATCTATCTCCATTCATCTTTTACGTAGGTGCATCAACTTTCTCAATCATGGAAACCGGTAAGGGGAAAGGGGCTAGTCCAATAACGAAAGCTTTCAGAAACAGTTCCATTCTTAGATTCTTTGCAGACAGCTGTCGCACAAGAAAATATGCACACAACGTTTTTAAGGAAAAGAAACTGTTGAGTTGTCGGCCGCGGTTTGGGCAGGTCCTACATTGTCCACCCATGATAGACAAACTTGGTACCCCCTGGAAACTCATTAACTACACGCCCCAAAGTTGTTCTTATTTGTCTGGCAGAGGGGGATGTGCATTGAATTGGGCTTGAGCATTGAGCGAAGCTGACACCAAACAAATCCAAGGAGCCAAGTTGAGCCAAGCACTTTCTTTGAACACCAGAAAAGAAAAACCTTAGCAAAAACATTTGGTCAGCGCAGCAAAGAGTAACGAAGCCATCCGGATTGAACAAATGATTACAAGACCAAAGCCAACCAAAGCCCATCATCTCTGTCCTGTGGCCACGGCTGTGTGGCTCCGACCACCACTGGTGGTCCACGCAACGTGCAACGTGCTGCGCCAAAGCAAACGGCTGTCGCATGCTCTGGTGCACGCAGTGAACGCACGGGGACCCGGTGGCAAGACATGGTCATATATGGTCATATGCGTGTGTGCATGTTTGTGCCGTTTTGCGTCATCGTGGTCTGGTTGCACGTTGGCTTGTGGGCCAAGTTGTTTCTGGGTGCAAGGAGCTGTGTTTCTTCTCTTGGCTTGTCTCAGCAGAAAGGAACTGCGTAGGCGTCTGGCTTTGTTGCTTGAAAGATTTGCAAGGTCTTACTGCTGTTTGCGACTTTTTTTGGCTGGCAGGGTGTTTTTGGGAGGGTGTCCTGGAGGCTTGCACAAGGGGTTGCTTTGCACCAAATTGAAAGACTTACAGTAGCTGAGTGAAAGGGGTTACGGTGGGTTTGTCTCAACATGCGCTAGCTTTGTTTTCTGAAACCCTACAAAAGAAGATCTTAAACACCTACTCTTGTACCTGCTAGTGAGAGCTTCATTGACCAATGGTTTTTCATTTAAGAGTGTGGGGGATATTCTCAGCTGGAAGACATCTGTTGCTTCAAACTGGTCCAGACGCACTGCCGACTCTGGGCGCTGTTGGTGGGCTGTAAAGAATCATGCTGGTTTGACTTTCGTGCATGAACACTGATCAAAGACTTGACTTTGGCTTCTTTTGGTCACGATATGTCACGATTAAGTCGGTTAAGTCCCAGTCTCACACTCATCATGTCATTTCATCTCGAACATCTTCAACATGATGATGACTTCGGGGTTCGGCGAACGGAGCACCGGAATGTCCAACAGTCCTGCTCTGTCCAAAGCTTGCGGGTTGCAAACTGAAAGGCATTTGTCATTTGACCCTGGACAAAGTGGGACTTCCCACCGAATGGCATCGTGCGCTTTGCAAGACGTCCCGTCCAAAACCTTGTACACTAATCGATCTGTTGGTCACCCTTCCCCCGAATATGACCTTGATCCTTCGCCCCGAAATCATGCGGGACTCTCAACTCCGGCCTCTAGAATGCGATCTCTCAGCTTTGCCACGGTGGTCTCCTGCGAGTCTCTCCGGTGAAATCATCGGTGGATCATCACAGTCTGTCCTTGGAGGTCTTCCAGAGCCCATACTAATGGCGTGACCCAGAGCCTACTGTATGGATCCATGCCATTTGCGACAGCACGGCACCCCAACTAGTACCACATGCTTGAACAGGATCGGCAAATTCTTCTAATCCATTCGTGTTTTTCCTTGTTGGAGCCATGCTGTCGGTTCATGTTGCTCCTGTTCTGAGCTCACGACAGCAACACATCCACAGGTGGGAAAACAAGCTTCGAAAGATTGACAAGGCAAGTGAAAGAAACTGGAGCACCCCAGAAATGTGTTTAACAAGATGGAACCCACGAACCCGAATGGAAACACGTTCGAAAAACTACATATGTCCAAAAGACACTCTTGTAGGACACTGTTGTGGGACACTCTTCTGGGACACTCTTGTGGGACACTCTTGTAGGACACTCTTGTGGGTCACTCTTGTAGGAAGCTCTTGTGGGACACTCTTGTAGGACACTCTTGTGGGACACTCTTATAGGACACTCTTGTGGGACACTCTTGTGGGACACTCTTGTAGGACACTGTTGTGGGACACTCTTGTAGGACACTCTTGTGGGACACTCTTGTGGGACACTCTCGTAGGACACTCTTGTGGGACACTCTTGTGAGACACTCTTGTAGGAAACTCTTGTGGGACACTCTTGTAGGACACTCTTCTGGGACACTCTTGTGGAACACTCTTGTGGGACACTCTTGTAGGACACTCTTGTGGGATACTCTTGTGGGACACTCTTCTAGGACACTGTTGTGGGACACTCTTGTGGGACACTCTTCTAGGACACTCTTGTGGGACACTCTTGTAGGACACTCTTGTGGGACACTCTTCTGGGACACTCTTGAAGGACACTCTTGTAGGACACTCTTGTGGGTCACTCTTGTAGGACACTCTTGTGGGACACTCTTGCAGGAAACCCTTTTGGGACACTCTTATAGGACACTCTTGTGAGACACTCTTGAGCGACACTGTTGCGGGAAACTCTTATGGGACACTCTTGTAGGACACTCTTGTGGGACACTCTTGTGAGACACTCTTGTGGGACACTCTTGTAGGACACTCTTGTAGGACACTCTTGTGGGACACTCTTGTGGGACACTCCTGTAGGACACTCTTGTAGGAAACTCTTGTGCGACACTCTTGTGGGCCACTCTTGTGGGACACTCTTATAGGACACTCTTGTGGGACACTCTTGTGGGACACTCTTGTAGGACACTCTTGTAGGACACTCTTGTGGGTCACTCTTGTAGGAAACTCTTGTGGGACACTCCTGTAGGACACTCTTGTGGGACACTCTTATAGGACACTCTTGTGGGACACTCTTGTGGGACACTCTTGTGGGACACTCTTTGTGGGACACTCTTGTAGGACACTCTTGTGGGACACTCTTGTGGGACACTCTTGTGGGACACTCTTGTAGGAAACTGTTGTGGGAGACACTCTTGTGGGACACTCTTGCAGGACACTCTTATAGGACACTCTTGTGGGACACTCTTGTGGGACACTCTTGTGGGACACTCTTGTAGGACACTCTTATGGGACACTCTTGTAGGACACTCTTGTGGGAGACTCCTGCCGGACACTCTTAAGGGGCACTCTTGTGGGTCACTTGCAGGACACTCTTGTGGGACACTCTTGCAGGACATTCTTGTGGGACACGCTTGTGGGACAGTCTTGTAGGACACTCTTGTGGGATACTCTTGTCGGACACTCTTAAGGGACACTCTTGTGAGACACTCTTGACTCTTGAGCGACACTGTTGCGGGACACTCTTCCAGCTCCCCAGATGTACTACAAGGTCGCCAGTTCTCAGCTTCCAGCTCCACAGATTGCTCCAAGTACTAAAGTTGTACTACAAAGTCACCAGTTCTCATCTTCCAGCTCCCCAGATACTCCGCGGACCCGGACTAAAGTTGTACTACAAAGTCGCCAGTGC